ATTTCTCAAACATACATGAATGAGTCAAAGCAAGGCTTTGGGCATGTTTTTTATGAGAGTATAACATTATAACATGGTATAAAACTCAGATTTTACATGATATTGCCCCTTCAATGTATTTCTCTTCATGTTGTGCATTCAAACACTGCAGGGCCATGTAATAAAAAAAGGTTTAACACAGTAATTATCTTTTATTTTTGATGCACGGGGCAGCCATGTTGGATTTTACAGGTGATATTGGATTTTTTATTTTATTTTATTTTTTGTCAGCTTGAAATCTGGAAATTGCACTGTTTGATTACCAAGAAATGTAACAACAAAGACAAGATGAGAAAAAATAAGCTAGATTTTGGATAATTGGATGAATCCAACTGCTATAAATCATTTGTGAGCATTTATTCACAACTCATGTTCATATTGTCTGAACTGGCTGTGATGGTGCATTTTTTGCAAATTTTGCTTCTTTAGTTTTTAGATTTTAAAGGATTGTAATGAAATCAAATGTCACATATCTGCTGTTTAGAATAGACATACTATAAATATATTCCATTTCAGTTTTTGGCAGTTTATTCACATGAAGTGTGCAGTGAAGAAGAGTTTTTTTTTAATGCTCTTAAGCACAACAAATATCAAAATAATACTCAGTGGTTTTAACAGGTTTTTTGGTAAGGTCCTGTAAATAAAAAGGCAAGAGAAGTAAAGGCCACATGGCTGAGAGGAGCTCATTTTTCTAAAAGAAAAGTTGAGCTATGAGTCCAGTAATTCAGCAAACTGCAGAGGCTAAAACGTTAGGACGGACTATGATCGGGTCATATAAAGGTGTAGTTTTTCTGGCAGCCATACAAGCAGATCTGTACCAAGATAAATCAAAAAGAGAAAATTGAAATCAGTCATTCTTTTTTCCTGCTCTTTGCTCTCCTCCCTCATTTCCTTCCCTGGGAGTTGTGGAGATGGATGGACGGAGTGTGCAGGAGTCCTTGACTGAACTGGAGAAGTGCTGACACGGCGCCACGCAGCTCAACAGCGCGGTGACGCCTCGATCTGTCTTAACATGATGCAGCCTTTTTCCCCCCTCCCTGCCTCACACACACCGTAGACTTTATATTCACAGGTGCATGTTTACACCAAAGGAAAAGAAAAAAAACTGTGAAGTCATGTATTAATGAACACAGAAAAGTGCACGTTGGCGTGCCTGATGTCAGATTTATGTGCTYACACTTGCAAGTGCACACGAGGCAGCAGAGCATGCAGGAACAGATCCAGGAGCACATGTTAACCAGCGACATCATCCTCACTCTTTCTTCATTTCTCTATCAACCTCAGGACACTCTGATCCCCACAACCAGCACAGCTACATAATCAGCATCAGTCTCTGGTGTCACACGTGTTAAATGCACCCAAACACACACAAATAAACTCACACAGCTATGTGTGTGTGTGTGTGTGTGTGTGTGTGTGTGTGTGTGTGTGTGTGTGTGTGTGTGTGTGTGTGTGT